GTAATAACAAAGAGGTTTTTAGCAGTGGAAGGTAAAGAGCCATCAGAGATGAAAGAGTTAACAGTGTAATAACAAAGAGGTTTTTAGCAGTGGAAGGTAAAGAGCCATCAGAGATGAAAGAGTTAACAGTTAACTTCCCATATGCCATTTCGGTCTCAGCTTCTATGTTCTATGTTTCTGAACCCGACAACGATTCTTCAATCGAGTGTATATGGAATTTAGCTTTGAACTTAAATTGGATTTCTTTAACCTCGATATCTCAGTGAGAGCAGTAAAAGTGCGAGATGTTGAGTTTGAGCACAAGGAGATTAATTCGTTATACGAAGAGCGCTTTTCGAATACAAATATATAACAGCTTTTTACTCATTAGCCAAATCACATCAGTGGAAATACACGTGAAAAAATTGTGGCGAAAGTTTTTAATAGAACTAAATATGTTTTATTTTTTGTGACTGTGAAACACTCACGAATTATGTCATAAGCTGGCATTTATTCTGAAAACGTTATGCATGGCACAAATCTGTCAAAATTATGTCATTGGAAGCTGGTATTTACTCTAAAAACGTTATTCATGGCACAAATTATGTCATTGAAACCCGGTCTTTTTATTCTCAAAATGTTATGCATTGCACAAATCTGTCAAAATTAATAGTTATAAAACTTATTTATGACCTCAAAATTCTCTCTTTTTACACCACAAAGCAAGACGCGCATGTTCACATTTCTTACAGTCGTGAATCTTAGGAACTTTATTATGGCAGAAGGCAAGCAATGCAAATCAATTTATTCTGTGACATTTGCGTGAAGGTATCCAGAATCTAGGTTTCTGACTTGAAAGTTTATTTCATTGCTAATGTTAATATGTAGATCTTCTTCAGTCGATTTTCTGCACCAAAAAAGGATTTTTTTGTGAGTTGTACTAGTAATGTTTTACCACTCTTTTCACTGCTACGTGCATGCTGATGGAGACAGTCGCAACAGGGAAATAGGSCAATACATTGCCGCCAATGAGAGAATATAAAGGTACCGACCAATTTATTTTATTGATCGAAGTGTATTGCCCAATTTCTCTGTCTCTACTGTTGTCTTGATTCTTGATTAGCGCATAGCAATGAAAATAGTGGTAATCAGATCTAAAGGTGAGCACGTGCCCCATGCTATTCGGTGCAAATTCTGACACGCGACCAAAATCAACTGGGATTTTATATTCATAATCTACTTGTTTCGGTAGTATTTCCCCCTTATTATGGATCAAAGATTCACAAGTTTGGACCGAAATATCAAAAGAAAGCTATAGCACGTTAAATTATACGTTTCATAGACAATAAACTCAAGGGTAATTTCTAAAAAAGGTTTAAACCAAGTACCCCCAGAATATTCAGTGGGTTTTGGCTTTTTAGTCAAAGGAGATTGGAAGTGATCCACCATCAAGTGACAGTGATCCACCATCAAGTGGCAGTGATCCACCATCACGTGGCAGTGATCCACCATCAAGTGGCAATGATCCACCATCAAGTTACAGTGATTCACCATCAAGTGGCAGCTATCCACCATCAAGTGGCAGAGTTCCACAACCAAGTTATAGTGATCCACAATCAAGTGACAGTCCTTCAACAGCAAGTGGCAGTGATCCACCATCAAGATACAATGGTTCAGCAGGAAGACCAAAAGAGTATGTATCATAAGTAATGTTAACTAGACAAACGGTGGAATAGTGTATGCGGTCTCGAGTTTCTCAAATAGTTTCATCTTTATGAGAAATCTACATGTCAGGGTACCCTTGATATGTACAGACAAGGCAGATCCCAAGGTGCCTGTGACCCCCTTTCTCATTCTCAACGCCCTCTGGCCGGAGAAAGTCTATAATTTCTCCAACTGTACGCAAGATACGACCAGCAAATAAAACGTTTCAACTACTTTGGACCTATGGCTACCCCTGCAGTTAGTATTGCTTTTAGTTTTGGGGGAGGGGAGGGAGAAATGATTTGTTCATGTGAGTGTGGATTGACCCTCCACCCCCACCCCCCACATGGTAAACCCTGAATAAGCCCCTGCAGTATGGAGGTCATTAGTTGATTTTATGTGCGAGCTTGTGTCTTAGGGGAAAGAAGAAAGATGACAAGAAAAAAGAGACTAAGCATGGCAACTTCGTAAGTTACCTTGAAAAAGGCAAGAAGCAAAATCTTTTAAACTGGAATGGCAATGCAGATGAACTCCAAGAGTTTCTTAATTCTTTCTTTGGTGAAAAGGAGGTTGATATAAGTGAAGTTCAAAACAACCACCCCCATGCTCTTGCTAGGTTCAAAGGGACTAACGGTTCAATTTTTATATTGTTCAAGAATCGAACCTTACAGTGCCAAGGCACAAAGCTAAAAGAAAACAAAGACAAGTTGTCTAAACTAGTGGAACAGGCAAACAAACTCTAAGCCCTGAGCACATACAATTAAAGTGTATATAGATTGATTTAGTTTAATCCCACATGATAACCTGCAGTTGTAAGAACAAGTGTTTCTGAAAAGATGGCAAAAAAAGAAAGKGTTGTCCTTRTAAAACTGCAGAAAAAAACCCTGCCATCAAGCCTGCAAATGTGGAGCACCATGTACAAACAAGGGCTAACATAATAATGTAATAGAGACAGTATGTCGCTGCTTTTAGATATCAAGATTAATGTTAGGACAATCTTGTATCCAGAGTCGCCAATTGCTTTCTTGAATTGCGTTCGGATACCATTCAAATGCAATGGAAGACTTCGATTAATCGAATTTTTCATAGTGTTTTTGGATTTTTTTTTACACATTCACCGGATGTGTTTGCCTTTGTGTAGCTTGCCCACTCACATAAGGTTTTTAAGATATTCTTCACAAAAGGCCGGAAATCTTGGCCACCCCCCCTCCCCTTCCCCACAAAAGTTGTACCACTATGAAAAGATAATGCGATTCCTGGATACGTCATTTAGTTAGACAATTGCTGATAACATTGCTGATAAAGTCAACTGATTTGACCTTTATTAAAAATGTGCATACTGCATACCACTAAAAGTCAATATCACACTTTGTTACCCTGGACACATACTACTAAGAGTCAATAGCTCACTATGTTACCCTGGACACATACCACTAAGAGTCAATACCTCACTATGTTACCTTGGACACATATCACTAGTGAGTCATAATAATACGAAAGTTCATAACTGATAGAGTTAAAGAATTGTAAATCTTTTTAATAAGTTAAAATAAAATTCCCTTGGTAAATATTATATCGTATGTCAATGAGTTTTGTAAAGTGTTTTAATAGTTAGAGGCGCGGTACTTTGTTCCTGGACTAATCACTGTGATTTACTATCATTGGACAACTACTGCAGAATCGTTTTTGTACCAACCCCTCTCCCCTAAGGTACAGATCTCAACTGTTTTTCTTCTTCTTGTTTTTAACGATTTCATTAGGATTGCCGGTTCATAACAATGAGCTTTAGAAAGGCCTCCAGGATTTCTATGGTTTGGGGGATCGATTACTAGGAGGGGCATATCAAGGAATTCCCATCATGGAATGGATGTCCTCACCAAATCATCCTACCTCTACTTTCCCTCTGTCTACACCCTGTATCTGTTATGTAGAATATACACTATTATCATATGACCCGTACGGCCCTGCTCGCGCGCTCTAATAAAATCATTGGAAAAAGTCACTTGATGGGGGCCGGACGGGTTGACGTAAGCGGGCCGGAAAAACCCGCCCGGCCCTGCTCGAATACGCGCGCTTTCTTTTTCTTAGTTATTTTTATTTTCGTGAGGCTCATATGATAAAATGCTTATTGACTGAGTTAGGTCGGGCCGTACGGGAAAATATTTGGCTCTCGGTCATTCGTACGGACCTCGCTGCGCTCGGTCCGTACGACATGACCTCGAGCCAAATATTTTCCCGTACGGCCCTCCCACTCAGTCAATAAGTACATATAAACGTTTTCTTTGTGAAGGAACGTAGTGACTAAGCAAAGAAAGAGTTTCCTTAAGGGTTCCCTGTGGTACGCAAATAATCTTGGAATATTGCGATAAGATAACCCTTGATGCAATAGGGTCCCTTTAAACAAATATCTTTTATTGACTTAGCTGGATTTCCGTAGTAATAGAACGCAAGGCATGCTGGACGTCTGGGCAGATCTGGTGAATCTCGTGAGCGGAAGCGTCCAGTAGAGGYTGAAGCAAGTCATTCATTTCTTGTAGAACGGAAACAGACTAGGGGAAAAAGGAAAAAAATAAATGCATACTCTGGTACTAATTTTCCGCGGACTGGAAAAATTCAAAAAACTAAATGGAACGACTTTTTGTTCCTTGGTACAGTGATAGAAACATTTTGGAATCTGCAGAGCACCCGAAAAGCATGAAAAATGTCCTAAGTGTGCCTCTCTCATGCTCTAAAGCTCTCAACGTATTCATATTAAATAAGTACAAAGACGTGTGCACGTTTTACATTCCTTTCATGAAAAGTGTGATTTGAATAGGAAGATACRAGATTGTTAACAGTCACTCTTTTCCCTCCTAACTCAGTCGAGTCGAGTTTCCCCCTAAATTGGTTGCGGGGGCCTGGAGACGAGTTCGAAGTGGAACGCAAGGAGAGGAAAGTCCCATTTCCCGCGCGACCAAAACAGGGAAAAAACCCGACTCGACAGAGTTACCGGTAAAAGGGAAAATATGGATTGTTAACAGTTTAGAAGATACAAGGACTACAATGAATGAAGTACAACCTCACCTGCTGGGATATCTTCAGTTGCAGCGTATTGGACGTTTGGTTTACATCTGTAACTGAACGAAGCTTGTCTGAAAACAAATTGATACACAATTATCATGGTGATCTTCCATTATGTATACCGATCCACGATTTGTCCACCCACTAACCCCCTCCCCCCATCCAATTTTACTACCGGGTATTGGTGAGAGCAGATTTCGTATAAATGTGAAGCAGCAGTTTATACGACACGGTCACGGTCCAAAATGGGCGACATCCTTTCAACCAATCACAGTTAGAGAAAGTACTGCTAATCCAAAAATACTTGAACATGGTACCTTCACGGGTATTTGGTTGGACGATACGTGTCATGTGGTCTGTGTCGCACACCCCCTTACAACATCGCGTGTTGATCACGTGACATCCGTACCGCGAATTTATCAAAGTCGTACTAAATTTGCTGTAAACTAATCAGTAGTGACTCACTTTGTAACAAGGCCGTAAGTCCACTCGGTGCCATACAAGTGCCGCGCTTCAAGATCTCGTGGAGTTTCTGAGAATACGCCATAGTCATTTGACCAACAACTGCTTCATCTAAAAGAGACTAAACACATACAGAACCATTGAAAGTAACGCTAAAATTACTAAGTATTACAGTGCATACCATATATCCGTGAAAACCTTTGTAAGAAACTGCACAAATTAGTAAGTTCAGTAGACCTCAGTAAACCATAGACCTACAAAACTTTGCACTAATCTGTACTATTTTGTTAGTTAGCTTTTTCACAGATATATGGTATGCACTCTATGTAATGGATCTTCTCTTCAATGTTGGGAACGGAAATACATCACAGTTCAACTTCAAAGGAAAGTTACTCTCCTGCGCCCGGTTGTACGAATGGTAAATAGCACTATCCGATGGATAAATCCTTATTCAGTGGATAAGTCGATCCTGTTATCCAATAATTTATCCACTGGATAAGAGATATCCGTCGGATGGCGCTATCCACCGTTCGCACAACCGGGCCCTGGAAGTCAAAAAATTCCAATTTCTTACTTGATTATTTTCCTTATCTGCTCTTGCTGGTGTGAAGGTCCTGCTCAGCTCTTCGTTAATCACGTTTTGCAGGGTTTTATTCAAAGTGATTAAATATTCCAACTGTGCAGCCGCGCTGTGAAACATATACCAGGCCTCTGCCACGTAAGAGGAGGTCTGGAGAAATCAAATCAGTACATATAAGGTGGAATTGATAAAATCCTGTTCATTTATCAGAGCATCAATCATAGAGTGATTTTACTTTGACCGCGAAAGAATAGTCAACTTTATATATATTAGTAGACACTAATTCTATTGTTTTCTTTTGTTTTACTTTGACTTTTAGTCACTAAATTAAACACTTTTGTTTCACGGGCCAAATAAATTCACTCTAGCTTTATGACAGCAGATTGACAAACTGACAGGTCCACTAAGCCAATCACAGTGCGCGCAACACTACTGAAGGCTAAAGGACACACTGCTGAAGGCTAATCGACACACTACTGAAGGCTAAAGGACACACTGCTGAAGGCTAATCGACACACTACTGAAGGCTAATCGACACACTACTGAAGGCTAAGAAAATAGGACACACTACTGAAGGCTAATCCACACACTACTGAAGGCTAAA